AAAAAAACCATAATGACATTCACGAAGAGAACCCTTCACTACCAATTTGTAAACCTGGACTATCCTATTGTTCCCACGGTCAATTCAGATGCTATAATATAAAGACATTTTGCTTTCTTGTTCGGAAAGTTTCTTATTGTGCGGCAAAATACAACAAGTGGAAAAAGTCATTTAATCTTGTCAACTACTTGCAAGACAGTTTATTTGTAACTTGTCAGATTTCAGAATTTCAATCTTTGTCCTTATTTGCAAGACAGTTTACCATAGAACCTCCAGAAGTTGTAGAATAAGTTGGACTTCTGGTGGGAGTTGCTACTATAACGCCACCACCTTGGACCTATCACAACAACAATCGATAATGTCACAAACAAGAAGCATTTTATTTCTCAACTCTAATATGTTTAACTGTACTTTTATAGTAGATTGGAACCTCAATAAATATAGAGGCCAGAAGATGTATACTTTGCAATGATTTCTATATCTCATAATCAATCAAATAAAACCCACCATACATTGGTTATGAGGCGGTCGTGTTCACAACACTCGATCTTCGAGAAAAACGGAGGAACCACGGTCGACCACAATTTCATTCAGGATATGAAATATCTTTCCCATTTCGGAATATCTGTCGCATTCTAAGGGTAATATAAACTCCATCAGTCGTGTTGGCCCCATGAATCACTTGCCTTAGGTCATTCTTGTAATCATCAAACTGAAAATTATATTAGTATTCAAAAAAAAATATAAAAAAAATAAATCATCTAGCTGCTGCAAGAGCATTTTCTCTTTCTAATCCAACTAAACATAAATCCATGCCAAACAACATCAATACTGACCTAAAAAAATTGAAGGAAAATGAATCTAAACAAATTTCCAAAACTGAAATCAGTCATATGCATACCCAAATAAAATTGTTTCCAGCAGTCCGTGCACCAAAAATTGAGAAATAACACAATATGAATAAAAATCGATTAAAGCAAGAAAGCGAAAGCTTTCAACACTGGAAAATCCATTATCTAAGCATGCTAAGTTTTGGGGCTCGGCCGAGGCACTACCCTTATGTAATTTATCACCAGTCCCATGATTCCAAACCTGGAAACCAACAGAAAGAAAACTAGTAGGGCGTAAAATGAACAACAATTGTACACACTAAGGACTTCAATTTAATCCAAGAAGGAGATTGCTAATACCTACACCTTTTCCAATCAATCAAATACTTTAATGTGACATATATTATAGGTTCTTAAATGATTTTGTGTAACCAACAATACTTTTTCTTAAAGACAACGGGGGAAAACAAAAGTTGAAGTAGCTAGCATCAGGAATGTGAAAACGAAAAATACACCCAGCTGGCTTTCGATGTTTTGTTCAGTGTGGATATTACAAAATCCAGTAGCTTTACTATTAGACCCAAAAATATAACTGCAGCAGGTTAGATGAGCATAGAGCTATGTAATGCACTAAAATTCCACCACATCGTTGGCTAATTCATCAAACAACAAACCCATGAAAGGAAAGAAAATAAGTTCATATTTTGGCAAAATAAGTGCAGAACCCGAGTGAATCCCTCTCTTCTTGAAGAACCTCAATCAAACCAGCCAAACAACCCCCGGAACTGAAGCCGAATAGTGTTAAAGTTCCAAAATCGAACAAATGGCAGGCACAATAATGACTTTCTTCAATTAATGTTTAATGTAACATTTAAGGTTGTCGGAGCACGGGAATTTGTAGATCAGGCTATAGTTTATGTGCTTTTCTTGGGTTATTGGAACTAATATTGCTTCAATTGATACACATTAATATTAAACGTCCGGATACAAACCTCGAAAATACATTTACTCAATGTTCAAGTGGTTCCTTCGACATCATAGCAATAGTACAAAACCTCAACGGGTTTTGCATCCCACGCTAGGCGGCATCATCAACAGAAAACTGGTTCGTTCGATAAAATAAATCAGTCTTGGTAACATATGTTAGATATTCTCCTAGAACACTCACTCTGAAAACAAATTCGATAATTCTCATAGTTGGTCAAAACCATATTCACAGATGTTCAAGAACTTTGCAATTGTTACATTATTACAGTAAAGAAATGATCATATAGGCATAACCCTCAACATTTATAATCCACTTCCAACAAGGCTATGCACATCGATATTGAACATCTGAAACAAACCTCAATAATGCATTTACACAATGTTTAACTGTTGCCTTCAACATCAGCAAAGCAGGAAGGTTTTTTCCCAAGTACAGTTCGTCAGTGAATACGTGGGAATAGCCCAGTAATGAATAGATATATCAGTCACTGAGTTCTGAAGCGAGGAGAACGAAACGGACACTCGACCCTATCATACTATAGCAGCAATGAGAGTCGAGATCACCTCAAGTTTAGTCAAGTCCCCCGAATCGAATAGTGAATGCTCGACACAAGTTGCTATGCTTCTCTTTACTCTCTTTATACTACCAATGGGTAGATCAATCAAGCCTCAAAATAATGGGAATGTGGTCCGAAAGATGAGATTTAGAAATCCTTTACTTTCTCGCAACTCTTACAATAATAAATTATAATATGTATTTTGATTAAGTAACTGTAATATGCTTCACTTTTTTCCAATCAAAATCTGTTAAAAATTACAAGAAACTAGAGCAACATAATATAATTAAGCACACCAAACATATATGTCATCACACATGACCATGTAAAATTCCAATAAAACGACATATACGCAATCACACATGACCATGTAAAATTTAAAGTATTATTTAGTAATGTTCATCAATCCATTATGGAACTTATTAATTCATCTAGCTGGCCCATAACCATTTGGTTGATGCCCTACACCCTACACCCCGCCCCACAGCAGCGAAAACCCAGCAAACTTCCTAAAAATTACAAAACATACTATAACATGATTGTTTCTTAACAATTAAAAATTAATGTTTAATTTGCTAAATAAAAGTAATGATCACATGATTATCAAACCTTAAATATTTCTTCTACTTATATTTCTCTGACACGAAACAGGGCTTAAACTCCTCATTCGGAAGCTCATCCGAAAACTGGTTGACGCCAAGTTTGTAGCCGCGGTCCGGGCCTGAGTTGAAGGCTTCGATTTCCAACCACTTCTTTCTGAACGCGGCAAACCGCACCGCCCTCTCTGCATCATCTTTGTACACCCGGCCATACAGAACCATCCACTTCTTGAGTTCTTGTTCGATTTGAGACTTCGAATCAACGGAGCTGTGAACAGTTACGATGACTAGGAAAATAGATATTATTAGTACTTTCATTGAGATTGAGAGCGACATTGTATGTAATTTTTAGCAATGCAGCAAAGAATATTGTTGGGTAATTATACGGCTATGGTTAGGGATTGGGCATGAAAAATTGGGTCGGGGAATTACCACGAAAACGAGATTAATAGTGGCCATGTTTGTTTTTTGGTGTCTGGCCAAACCGCTATTTTAGCTGTTTTGACCGAGCCAAAAAGGCTAAAATTATGTTGTTTGTTTGTTTGTTTTNCTCAGTTTATGGGTGGTGATATATCAGTATAAACGTCACACATAGCAGCGTTTCACATTGACAGTTTTGTTTTAATGGACCAATTTCTTTTCCATTCAAAATGACATTTTTCTTTTTCCATTACAATTGGTGAAATGGATGCTGGGCCCATTTTTTTCTTATTTTTGTTTTTCATTTACATTATCAATATTTAGTATTATATTGAAATTTTTGTTGTCATTTTCAAATATGAATTTATATTTAAGTACACTAACACACATTTTATATTCTGAATTATATTCTTTCTATTATTATACTTTAATTATAGTAAGTATGAAAACTTAATTTAATTTAAAAATCAATTTTTAACTTTTGTTGATACAAAAAATAATTGCATAAATACGATTGGTATTTATTGCTTTTTAAATATTTATATATTTAACACAATAAGTATGTTAATAATATTAAATATATTTTTACAAATCAATCAACTATCTATCCAAACATCTTTTTTAGAACTGCTAACAGTATCAGCCGATCGAAACAGTCAATACTAACAGCTAGTCAAAACAGCTATTACAATCTAAAGCTAACCGCTAATTACCAAACAAGACAAATATGTTTGTTTGGTGGTGGGATTGGATAAAAATAATAAAACACCGCTAGGAAATACAAATAAACTCTTAGTTCATCGTATATAATTACCACAATCCTGTAATGGGAAAGGAAAACCCAAACCAAAACCATAAAACAAGATGAGAGTATAGGAATAGCTTCACATTACCACCAATAGCACAACATGTTGAAGTTAAAAATATGCATAGAACTACATGATAAGGCATCCAAATGAACCAAAAACCAAATGTTTTTTGCCAAGACAAAAACAGATTAATAAACCAGTTATGGCATCGTGTTTTTCACGCAACACAAAATGAGAAAAAAACTTCGTCAACTATTAACAAGGCTTAATATAAGTCAATAGGGCAATGGACACCAGTGCCTCGACTCCTACAAAGGACTCCCATCCCGCACGGCTAGCTATAAATATCTGCACCATTAACACGAAATGACAAATATTAAGGAATGACATTTTGAGCAATCATGCTGACAGATAAAATTTTGCTGAAAAGAGACTAGTCTTGTCGGCCCATCAAACAATGGGTTTGTGAAAACTAGCGTAGCACAACAAAAAATGACTGCTGAGAAAAAAACATTTTGTTAAAAACTATAATTTGAAAAAGAAATAACTGCATATTAAGTTATTAACCTTAAACACAAATGCAAACAAAATTTACATAGTCCGAATTCAATCGAACTGCAAAGAACAAACTTGAGGAAGATCCACCAACACGCCGTACAACAGACGCAAACAAACAAATCTAAAAGTTATTAGTTGTTACAAGCAGCATTGGTGGCTTTCCTAATAAAAACACAACTTTGATACTACAGAACATATCTGCTAATTTTGAATCATATCTGCTAAAACAGATAGCTTAAGCTTCCATTAGAATTATCATGTGTGGCATAGATGAAAAATATAAGGAAATAGCAATCAACCAACCCCCACAACACAATCCAAAAAAAAGGCCAAAACTCTCAGTCAACAAACAGGAAGTAAACATTGTTCCACTTAGATCTCAACGAATCCAGTTGTCTTCGGTAGCCAGGCACTTGATTTCAAATTCAAGGGTTCAAACACTCACAGATAAGCCACATCTCGGTCCCAACTCTACTAACCCTTAGAGCTATGAACTAAGAGAATTATCTCTCCAAACGTATAAAACACATTCCGCTACTAGTACTAGCCGAATTCATGAGATCCAGAAAAATGCACACATTCCATCTAGCAAACTACTACACAAATCGTCTTAAATCCAACTAGTTTCCAATAAATTACCATGAAACAAGGAGTATGAGTATGTTTATTAGATAATCAAACAGCAAGATTGACAGAATTTTCATCAGTTCAAGTTGAAGAGATCAAAATTATACCATCAGATGATCCATTCCTTTTGGCCCTCTTGAGCTTCTCTAGCTGGACCTGAGTATCCATAAACAACTGCATCCTCTGAACCTCCAAATCCTTAGTAAACTGCATCCTCTGCTTTTCCAACTCCACCATCTGTCTCTGTTTCATACGCTCAACCTTCTCGTAAATCTCCCCGAACGACACTATAGCCTTGGCCAGCTTCCTCAACCCATCATCCCCAATTTCCTCCTCCTCCTCATCAACCCTATCCTCGCTCTCCTCTGCCTCATCTCCCTCAAACCCTCCATCATCGTCCTCCCCTTCGTTCTCTGCAGCAGCTGCTGCAGCTGCCATCGCCGAGTAATTCTTCCTGAAGTACGACGGCCCGTCCACCGCCGAAGGCATCGGCACCTGGCGCTTCTGCGGCAGAATCTCCGGCGTCGCCATCGCCGGCGAAGGCGGCTTCCGGTAGGCCAGCGGTACGGCGAACGGTGGCGAGGGCAGGGACAGCGGGAGCGTGGACTGAGGCGGAGGGCTCACCTTACCCTTGTTGGGACTGGATCCGATCAGGAGCTCCAGGCGAGGGTAAAACGGCCACGACGACGTCGCTTTCCCGTTGGAATTAGAGATCCTGGCCTTCTCGACCTTATACTTCTTCTTCAGGGTGTCGATCCGGTTTTTGCACTGGACGTCGGTCCGGCGGGTCTTCTTCGTGTGGCCGTGGAGGGCGTTGACGGTGTCGGCCACCTCCTGCCAGTCCTTCTGCCGGAGGTTACCGCGGTTGAGCTCCAGGTAGCGCCGGCCCCAGGCGTCGACGAGCGTTGATGTCGCCTCCTCCGTCCAGCAGTCCTCGCGAAAGGGGGTCTGACGCGGCGGCGGCGCCTGAGGGTAGGAAGATTCCGTCAAATCACCCATCGATCTGTGCAAAACCCTAGCGATCGCTAAAACGGGGAACACGAAATTTTACGGGACGGTGAGAATAAAAAAGGGAAAAGAATTTGTGATGGGTGTTGGCGGCGGAGTATGGGGGAGGATATGAAAGGAGGGGGAAAAGGGAGAAGGGATAGGGCTGACTGGTATCGCCGGGGGAGCGAGCGCGTGGAGACGACGGCCACGCGCGAATTTGAGCGGCGTGGGTTGTCATGGGTTAACGGCGTTTGGGCTACGGCACGTCGGTCAGTTATCCGATTGGTTTGCGGTGATTGGGGTTAGGTTTAAATTACTTTAGCGGATATTATTTTTCTTGGGCTGAGGAAATTGGGAGCGGTGATGGGCCGACCGATGGGGAGGAGAGTGGGGAAAGGTAATTTCTCCGGTCACGGGATTGCCGTGTGCGTTTGCGCAATGACGGTTTTGCCCTTGCTTTGATGTCAATTTCGCGTCCTTTGCCCGGAGGCTTTCACTCCAACGCCCAAAGCCATGTTTTAAATACCCTACCGGTGGTCCGACCGGTACGGTTACATTTCAAATACTGTTTTGACCAAAATATCGGTTTATATCGGTTTCATACCGAAAAATACTGATTTTACCGGTCAAAATACCGGTTTATACCATTTTTTTTAAAAAAAATATTTTTTAATATATTTTTATTAATTTATTTATATAAATTGAAAGTTATACACTTAATTTTAATATGTTTACATTGTTATTAGATGTTAATTAATTTTACTATTAATTAAAGTTAGTTTTGTACATCATTTATATTATAATAATAAATTAATATAATATTTATTAAAACCGGTAAAATAGACGGTAATACCGGTCGAATCGGTTGAACCGCGTACCGTTGGCTCGTCCGGTATGATTACCGGTACGGTATTTAAAACACTGGTCCAAAGTTTAACACCCGGTGGTGAGTGAATATTATTTTCTTTTTTGTTAACAAATATCATTGAGATTTTCAACCAATAAAAAATAACTTTTTTTTTTTTTGTTACAATGTAAAATAGAAAGTAATATAATTATATATCTTCTAATGAAAATTATTCTTTGTACTTTTATGTTCATAGTTTTTTTTAATAAGGTGGGACTGACTGGTCGAACTGATCGTTGAATTTTTTTTTAATAAAGTTGGATTGACTGGTCGAACTGATCGTTCAATTATTAAATCGGTCAATATTTGTTATGATTTAGTCTGTTGTAATAGTCTATTTTTTATTATTTTCAAATTATATTAGAGTTTAGTATAAATAAATATAGAACTTTAAATAATTTGGATATGCATAAATTATCATATCAATTAATTTATGCATTAAAATATTTTAAGTTATCTAAGTATTTTTAATCAATGATTTTATTATATATATGTAGTTTATTGTTAAAATATAACTAGTAATCAACCTGTGCATTTGCACAGATACAAATTTATAGAAAAGAAAATAAGAAAAGCAAAAATACTAAATCATAATTAAATGAAAAATAATTAAATTAAATGTTTTGTAACCGAATATAACAATTTTAGGTGGTATGTGAAAACTAATAAAATTGAATATTGAAAATTTTAGAGGGCTAATAAAATTTAACGCATAAAATTAATAAAATTGAATGTTAAAAATTTTGGAGGGATAATAAAATTTAATGCATGATAATATAATTTAATGCTTTGTTGTTCCTCTTTATATATATATATAGATATACATTTAAAAATATTAATTAATTAAACATCAATTCAATTGGTACAAGTATTAGCTCGATGAGTGAACCTTTGAACATGTAGTTTGGTTGGCCTGATTCTAATTGTCCATAGTTTTTGCTATTAATCATTACTAATTTATTTTTACATCAGTCAATTTTAATCATTAATTTTTTATTTTATATCCATTCAAAATGTTATTTTATTTTTTATTTATTTAACAAATATCTATATATATTGAAAGAGATTAATGTTTAATTCAAAAGTGGAAAGTTGACTCTAGAAATGGTCGCGGGCCGGTTCAGACCGGAAACCAGTACCAAACCGGCTAGAACCGGCCACATAAGGGCCGGTCCGTTGGACCGAACCGCAAGGGCCGCAGTTCGGTCCAGGTTCAAAAAAAAAAATTTGGTCCCGGCGGTCCAGTCCAGGTCAGGTCGGGTCGGGTCACGGGCCGACCGCCAGCAACGGTTTCTCCTTTTTTTTTAATTTTTTTTAATTTTTATTATATTTTATTTGACGGATCGGGCCGAGTCAACCAGACCGAACCGGACCGACCCGACAACCTGTCAGAGGTCGCGCCATGCCCATACCGACTAGCCGTTGGGCCGTCCTGGGCCACGGGTCGGGCCGGTCCGGGTACGGGCCCAACGGTCAAAATTTAAAAAAAAAGAATTAATATGGGTCGTTGGATCGTTGTGATCCAACGGCCCAGATCTGTTGGCCCGCCGACCCGCCGGTANCTCACTCTCTCTCCCTTATCTCTAACTCTACTCTCTAAGTTCTAGTGTTCTACTATCTATCTCTTAGTGTTCGGTTTTCATTGCTCGGTTATTCGTTTTTAGTTTTGTGTTCGGTTTGTAAAAAAAAAATCGAAAATATATATAAAAAAAATACCGCATCTCCCATTTTTTTATATCATCATATTCTATATTAATTTTCTCTAATTTATTTTTTATTTTTTAAATTAAAAATGTCGAGCTCTCGTGGTGGTCGTGATTCAAATTCCGGACAGAAATGTAGAAATATCGGACCGGCACGTCTTCGTCGAGACCTCCATTGCCGGAATTTGCCAGTCCATCGATACATGTGGATATTCCTGGTGTCGCCGATGACATTGATGAGGCGACGAACGAGCGCATGTTTGGCTCAATTCAGCCTGAGCAACAAGAGCAGCAGCAGCCGTATCACGACCGTTTCGATGATATATTTGGAGCGTCACCGCCGGAGGTTCAACAACCGACGCAGCAACAGCAGCCGGACCTGGACCCGGCCTCTGTCTTCGTCCGTGGCAGACCGGCATCTGCCATATTCAAACAACATTACACGAAGGTGGCCAATCCGGAAAGAGGTGAGAATCACTTTTATGTTGTTTGCAACTACTGCCGGATCAACGAGAAGAAGAAGTACCATCTCAAAAAAGGCGACAAGTACGGATCGTTGAAACGACACTTACAGAGTTGTCATCCAACAAAATTGGGAATTGACACGGCACAGACGCAATTCCTGAGTAGTAGGGCTATATCTGCCACGACTGGTACAGGTACGCCGTCTTTATTTCACTACTAACATGAAAATCATAGACGTCATTTAGCTGAATTTGTTTCTGCTTCATCTCTTCCGTTTAGTTTTGGTGATAGTGATTTATATGAACATTTTGCTCAAATGGCTTTGAATCCGGCTGCCCACCGGGTTCCACGTACTCGCGATATTCGAAAAATAGAAGCGGAAAAATATTAATTTTGCAAGAAACTTTTAAATCTTTAAATCATAGAGTATCCATTTGTGTCGATATCTGGTCTGATCATTGGCAAAATAACTTCTATTTGGGAATTACTTGTCATTGGATAGATGAAAATTGGAGTTTACAAAAATGTTTAATTGCTTATGTTGCATTTCATGAACGACACATTGCTTCTAATATTGCTCGTTTAATTTCAAAAATTTTGGATAAATATCAAATAGGTAAAAAAGTGTTTTCCATTTCGTTTGATAATGCTACTGTAAATACTGCATCTATACGTGAACTTACCGATATTTGCACTCCAATTTGCGGCGGAAGATTTTTTCATATTCGTTGTATATGTCATGTCTTAAATCTTTGTGTACAAGCTGGTTATCATGCTTTTAAAGATTCTGTCACGCCAATTAGGGATGCTGTTAATTATTTACATAAACGTCCTCATGAAATAAAAGCATAGGGACGATTTTGTAAAGATCAAGGGGTGAAACATAAAAAATTTCAACCCGACGTTCCTAACCGGTGGAACTCAACATTTAAAATGTTGAGTGACACGGTTCCGTTTATGACACAATTGCAGAATTTTTTTAACCATGCAAACCGTAAGGACTGTAATGTCCGAGTGTCAACAAGAGATTAGGAGAACTATAATGCATTTATTCAATTTTTAGAAACATTTCAAAATGCTACTAACATGCTTTCATGTATTTATTATCCTACTGCTCAGCTTGTGTTAAGTCAAGCTATAGCCATAATGTGGGCTTTCAATGATCTTTACGACTTGAATTTTAATAATATGGCTATTTAGTTGAAGAAATGTTAAAGAAATGATTAAAATATTACTATTTCATTCCTGATACACATTTAGTTGCATGTTTGTTAGATCCTTCGGTACGTGAAGCTCGCTTGGTAGAGCAGCTTAACATGTACTATAATTATATGTATGAACTTCCATTCCCGACTGATGTCCCGACATACAGTAAAAAACCTAACGTACTGCTGCTCGTCGAGCAAGCAGAAAATTTGTTGTATGACATGTTTAGGGAAACAACGATCGCACAAGGAGAACCTTCCAGCACATTTGTTCGTGGCGGCGGGGGCAGCGGCAGCGAGTCTTCATCTTAAGGCGGTAGTCAAGTAGGCGCTTCGAACTATAAGGAGTGATGGGCATCATTAAATCTCTACAAGAATGTTGGCATTGAAAGGGCAAAGGGAACTGGATACTTTGAGCTTGATCACTACCTAACGTCGAATTTGATACTTACGATTGCTCGTGAACCAAGTCCGCCACTCAATTTCGATGTCTTGGACTGGTGGTCGAGAATGCAAGGAATATATCATATTCCTTGCTTGATGGCCAAAGAGATTTTCGCCGTCCCAACATCTACAGTTGCGGTCGAACATGCCTTCAGTGAGGGAGGTTATATGCTCGACGCACGACGATCGAGGCTGACGCCCGAAAATCTACAAGCACAAATACTGTTGATGGATTGGAAGAAGGCCGAACGAAGGATGCGGACGACGACGACGACGCATCCAATTTTACGAGTACGACGAGTGGTGGAACTGGAACAGCAGATGACGAGTACGACTATCAGAGGCAACCACTCGTGTACAGGTAAGTAAATCGAAAGAACTACGTGGACTTTGATTCCCAATATAAGTGATACGTAGGCAACTTAATTTACATTTATAAGTTAAAATATCAATTATTTTCCAAAACCCAAACAAAAAAATTCAAGTTATATGATATTTTAACTTAGTAAATGTCAATTAAGCTCGAGTCCAATTTTTTTTTTCAACTTTAAAATATCTTAACGTAACAAGAATTAATTGTCCTGTAGAAAACATTGTTCAAAAATTCAGACAATAATATCAATTATTCAAATTATGCCTCGACCACAGTCTCCATTACTGTATTGTAGCCGTATGAGAGAGTGCGACGCAGGTTCTACAAGGGAGACTGTGGTCGTGGCATTATTGGTGTAATTGATGTTATTGCTTTGATCATTATTTGGTCAACTTTTGGAATTTCTTGAGTTGTAAGTAAATTAAAAAAAAAACTTTCATTCTCAATTTAACGGATACTTAGGTACCTTAATCCTTAAGTTAAAATATTAATTAAAATAAGTTAAATTACATCACTTGAAGGATGTTCTATAACGGAGACAATCGCAGTATCTTAACGTAACAAGAATTAATTTGCCTCTAGAAAACATTGTTCAGAAATTCAGGCAATAATATCAATTATTCCAATTATGCCACGCCCACAATCTCCATTGTTGTATTGTAGACGTATTAGAGAGTGTGACGCAGGTTCCACAACGGAGATTGTGTCCGTGGCATTATTGGCGTAATTGATGTTATTGCTTTGATCATTATTTGGTCAACTTTTGAAATTTCTTGAGCTGTAAGTGAATTTAAAAAAAAAGTACTTGGACTTTTTTACACACCACTAATACGTAGGCACCTTAATCCTTACGTTAAAATATCAATTAAAATAAGTTAAATTACATCACTAGAAGGATGTTTTATAACGGAGACAATCGCAGTTAGCGTCGTTTACGGGGTTCTTAGATGTTCAACAATCTTCCAACACTGCAAGAAAGCTGCAGTCTTTTTCACATACCACTAAAAGTATTGGATTATTGTATCAAATTAAAGTGAAGTGTTGATGACT